TTGAGATGTATCATAAAACTAATATTCTTAGCCTCTGACAATGCATTGTAGTAGCGTTTCTGTAGCTCTGCTCTTGGTTGATGATATATTGGGTAAGAAGTTGCTAAATCCGCTTTGATACGAAAATATGGAGCGAAAAAGAATCTGGACAATAACAATTTATCATTGGAAATTACTCTTTCGAAAACACCAGGATATCCAACGAGACATACTATTCAAATTGAATGTCTTCAGCCATTTGTAGTAATCGAAATGTCGTTGATAGGCACTAATGGAATTGTTAGATTTTTCAATACTTGGTGGGTCTAGTGTAGTAAGATATACTTTTATTTCGGCTACGTTAATAAAATTACCAAAATTGTTATTGTCGAAATTTTTTTTCGCCCCGTATCTTCGAAACAAAGTGCCCTATCAAAAATCATCAGCAGACAAAATATCCTTAGAATAGTACAAGGAATAGTCCCTTGGTAGCCAGGTAGTCGGTAGCCAGGCTATTCGACGTGGGTGCTTTGTTCACTCTAGTGAAATGACTGCTGTGTTGGTCGGTGGTTCAAGCCCTACTCTGAACGATCTATTTTCACTTGCTATCATCCAAACCGTGTTAGGAATCACACGTTAAAAGGTCAGACCTCGTTGATCCTAAACTCGCACAAGTTTTGACTTCTGAGGGTTGTCGATCTTAGGGGTGTGACAGCTGGTTAAAGCAAAAACAGATTTCAAACACATTTTTTGCCGCATGTTTGATAAACATCCTGTCTATTTTCTGAAGCAGATATTTGATTTTTGATACAGGCATAGACCTTCGTGGGCTAAACTTTTTGAAATACTTAGCCCAAGAAATAGATTCAAATTCAGTCTTCTGCAATCGTACAAAAATGGCAAACTCATGATATTGTGCTTTGCATGGATGATACCGAAATCAATTATTCGAAAAAGTTGCTCAGGAATCGATTTTTGACCCTGTATACCGAATTTCAACCCAAAATCCAAAATTTGTTTTGTAATTTACATATTTTCCAATTTTCAATTGTTCCTACAGAGATGATGGAACAGTCAAAATAAATGATATAAATGTATTGAAATAACTTAAATCAAAGATTATTCAGTTAAATAGTTTAGTGATCTAATAATTTTTCTGAAAAAAGGTTGCTTGGGTAACAGGATCAANTTTTATCTGATTGAAATTGAAGATACATTAGAATTTTTTTTTTTCAATTTAACAATATGAAATACTTAGAATTTGAATAAAACTGAAGCTGACTTTTGAATATTTTTTTTGATTCATTCGACCGTTACTCGATGAAGATCCATAGTAATTTCAAAAACTACACCTCACAAACTTCATTTGAAAAATATATCACAACATGTTTCGCTAGCACCGGAGCTTTGTCAAGTCATTTGAATACTTCAAGTTGTTTCTTACACTGATATTTATATACTACAGGTAACCATAATTGAGACTACCTTCAAAAAATTACCTAAACTTCTACCTAAAGTACCTGTTCAATTATGATCACCTGAAGCATATTATTTCACATCTACATCAATAATAATTCTTTCTTGTTTTTTAAGAAAACAAGTTCAATAATGGTGATCTATTCAAAGCCAGTTGGTCATTCATTGGAATATTTGATTTTTTAGGTTTATTAATTTACATTGCTTTCAAATGATTCAGTTTCAAACCTTTATTTTTTATGTGCAAAATTTCGAACTTTTCGTTGAAGATATGATTTTCTTCTAGAAGATGATTTGAATATGTTGAATTTGTTTTCTTATTAACATAGCTCGTATGATGTTCCTGGATTCGATTCCTAAATGTTCTGCCAGTTTGTCCAATATATACTTCAGGGCACGTTCCAAACTTCAATTTATATACTCCTGATTTATTGAATTTGAATGTCTTATCTTTATTATTTTTAACTGACTTTCCCAACGTATTACTTGTTCTATATGCAATTTTAATATCTCGTTTCATCAAAAATTCAGCCACTTCTTCCATTGGTTGTCCAAAATACGTTAAAGACCTATAATTTTGATTATCTACCTTATCAATAGGTAGTTTTATGAATGAATTGAAACTTGTGAAATCAGTACGCAGTAAAATTAACGAAAATGATGTTATATTGACTACAGCAGATAAAGGCAACACTGTGGTTGCTATTAACCGAATTGACTATGTCAACAAAACCCTTGAATTCTTGAATTTAGGAAATTTTGAAATGCTGAAACGTGATCCAACTAATTCTTACCAAAATCAAGTGAAAGATTTTTTGAAAGATTCATACATACTTTTTACTGAAAGGGAAAAGCTCAAATTAACATTTATGTACCTCCAAATTCCTAAATTATATTCACTCATAAAACTACACAAACAGAGTTATCCAATTAGACCTGTGGTTTCCACCACAGGTCACCATCAGTGAAATTATCAGAAAGGCTAATCAATATCATCTTGAATCATTGTAACTTCCAACCAAAATTCAGTCTACGGAATTCATATGACATAATCAATAAAATAGAGTACATACCTCTACCAGACAATGCGAAATTACTATCCTTTGATGTGCAAAATCTATTTCCCAGCATATCTCCTGATGATACTATTACCATAGTAATGAAATTATTAGATAAAAATAAAGTGAACCCAGTCATGAAACGAGGAATAATTGACCTTCTTCTGTTAAG